CTTCAGTCTAACAAGGACCTTAGGTTTATGCCATTGGGGTGGGAAGTGTGTAAGAGGGAGAGATTATATGTAGCACAGGAAGCCAGCCAGTGGGATTCCGCAGTCTCTTCCTAGGGCATGCCTTCAACTGACAAGGATCCTATACTAGGCTCCATCTCGTAAAGGATAACCCCCTTCATATTGCTAAATGAGGACCAAGTGGTGAACACAAGAACCTTTGAAGGACAAACTCAAATCATGCCTAAACCATAGCAGAGGGTAAATGCAGGGAGTCATGGGTAGGAAGACGAGTGAACTGTGGCTCTGAAGATCTTAGTTGTGTTGCTAAAACTTACATAAAGTGCCAGATAGTCAAGCAGGTACCTCAGGCCACCTGGTCCCTAAATAGCTACTCAATTCTGCTCTCATATCAGCAAAGCAGCCATAAGCCACATGTGTAAACTGTGTTCAAATAAAACTTTATTACCTAAAGAGTGAAGGGTCAGATTCAGTCCATGGGCTGTCTCTAGATAACCCCTGATCTTAGGGATAGGGTGTGATATTTTGGGGGATTTCTGCTGCACATATAAATAAAACCAAAAAGTTCAAGAAATGGCAGGTGTGGAAATCCTCACCTGATATTTACAGAGTGGTGGGAACTACTCGGGCATGTCACTCTTTCCATATGGAATACAGAAGAGTAGGGTGCTTTGAGGCCAAGGCAAAGGCCTGGAATCTGTATCCTTCCTTGTGTAGCTATGTGGCCTTGGGAAAGGTAACTTCAATTGTTAGGGCTCAATTTTGACAAATCTAATACATCTGACATTTGTCAATGTATTAGAGCTTATGGGTGTGGTGTTGGCTGTTTGTTTTATTTTAATTGGCCCTCAGAAAGGGATAAACCCTTTTCATTTAAGCTTTTCTATCCCTAGAGGACATGTAGACAATAGTTAAGACCATAGATACCTTGAGGCACACTGCCTGTTCTGTACCTTGTTCTACCACTAGGAACCTATTTCCACATCTGTAAAATGGGGACATCAGTGATGTCTACATCATCAAGTTACTGTGGAGATTACGTCACTTCACTACATTCTGCACTTAGGATCCTGGCTGTGTGAGCAAGGAATGGTCCTTGTCTCTGGTTTTTATTTCTAATATGGGGATCAGAACAGTATTTCCTTCCTTGTGTTGTGGCAAGAGTAAGTGAGCTTCTTCTTACCCTGTACTTGGGACAGCGGCTGGAACACAGTACATGTTAGGCTTACTGAGATCAGTAGTCAAATCCTGACATACTGTAAGTTGTGTGCAATTGCCACATATTATTATCTTAATGACGATCTTAAAATTCTTCTGGAGATCACCCATCATGCCCCAAACATCACATTAGTCTTTCCATCACATTCAGTTGCAGAATAGCCTGTGATGTAGCACATCTCTGTTGATTCACATCCTGTAATGTATGCAGATGAGACTCAGAGATGAGATCAGATCAAGAGATGAGATGAAGCTGGGTACCAGTGCCTCACACCTATAACCCTAGCTCTGTGGAAGGCTGAGATCAGGAGTAGTGCAGGTTTAGGCAGATCTCTAGCAGGGAGTTCTGGAGACCCCATCTCAAATGAAAAAAAGATGGGTGTGTTGTGCACACCTGTCATCTTAGCAGGATGATTGCAGGATAAGGTGAGACCCTATCTCCAAAATAACAAGAGAAAAAAGGGTTCGAGGTAGAGTTCTTGCCTCACAAGTGTAAGTTTACCACCCCCCCACTACTGTGCAGGGGGGAGGAGAGAGAAAATATGAGGTCTTATATCTAGGGTCAAAAGACAGAGACAAGGAGGTGCGTCTGCTGCTCACTGAATGTCTACAACATCTGGCTCATTGTTTCCTTCCTTGCTGGAGAGAATTTTTTCAACCACTGGTTCTCAAGTGTTGGTGATTGTGTTTCCTGGAGACTCTGGGCAGTGTCTGGAGATAATCTGGTTGGCCATGCCTGGGGGAAGTGTCTAGTGACATCTAGTGGGTAGAGACCAGGAAAGCCACTGACTGTCCTATCACTGTACCAGATGCCACTATGAAGACTGGAAGCTGAGGGTATATTCCTAAAAAGAAAAAGAATTTTCTCCATTCTCCACCAGTCCTTACCAAATGTATAAAATCCCCCCCCCAATACCAGCTAATTCTCTGACACCAGCTTGGTGTCCTACAATTCAGTTCAGTTCTGTCACCATCTGTCTGCTGTCAGTGCAGATTTCCCAGTTCAGGGGCTCAATCCCACAAGATATTCCCTATTTAGATGCCAAATTCAAATCCAGGTTTCTTATCTTTGCTTCTGACCAACCAGATATAGATTGGAGGTCCCCAGGACTCCCTTCCACAAGTTCAAGAATTTTTTATACTAGCTCACAGACCTCAAGGAAATAGGTTTATTTGCTGGGTTACTGGTTTACTGCAGAAGAATACAACTCAGCAAGTCAGAAAGAGGTGGTGCATAGGCCAAGGTATAGGGAAGGGACAAGGAAAGTCCATGCACTTTCTGGAATTTCCACCTCTCAGCACATCCATGTGTTCACCAACACACAGCTCTCCAGACTCGGTCCTTTGGGGTTTTATGGAACCTCTATTAGGTAGACTTAGTTGATTACATCTTTGGTCATTGGTGATTGAACTTAATCTCCAGTCTTTTTTCCTCTCACAAAGATCAGGGGTGTGGGGGTTAGGGCTCCAAGCCTGTAATCACAGGGTTGGTTCCTATATAGACATCCAGCAGTTTCTGATCAGCAGCCATTCTCATTAACCTACAAAGAGACTGCTTTATATATATAAATATATATTAGCATAAATTAATTGTAAAATGGTTTCATTGTGATATTTGCACACACGCATAAGATGTACTTTGATCAAATTCACCCAACTATATTACTCTTTCTTCACCCATCCTCCTCCCTCCTTTTAATGGCCTTTATTATGCTATTTTCATACACACATATAAGTGTACTTCTATGATATTTACCCCTCTTTCCTTAATCCCTCTCCCTTCCCACTGGTTCTACATCTTTTGTTTTGGTGGTATTGGAGGTTGAACTCAGGGTGTCATGCTTGCTAGGCAGGTGTTCTACCATTTGAACCACTCCACCAGCCCTTTTTGCCTTGGTTATTTTGGAGACAGGGTCTCACTTTATGCTACGGCCAGCCTGGACTATAATCCTTCTATTTCTGCTTCCCCACGTACCTGGTATGACAGATGTGTGCTACCATGCCTAGGAATTGTTTGAGATTGGGTCTATGAATTTTTTCCTGGGCTGTCCCAGAATCATGTTGGTCTTGATTTCTGCCTCTCAAGTAGCTAGAATTATAGGCACGAGCCTCTATGCCCAGCCTTTAAACTGTGCTTCTTTTACAATCATGTCACTATTTTTTTAAGGTCTAGATTCTGTATGAGGAAAAATGTGGTATTTGTCTTTCTCAGTCTGTCTTATTTTGCTTAATATGATGATCTTCAGTTCCATCCAATTAGGAAATTTCATTTTTCTTTATTGTTAAATAATACCCCACTGCACATATGTATCAGATTTTCTTTATCCAATCATTGATTGTTGGTCACCTAGGCTGATTACACAGCTTGTCTACTGTAGTAGTGTTGCTACAAGCATGGGTGTGCAGATGTCTCTATTGTATGAACATTCCTTTAGCTATATGCCTAAGAGTGATAGAGAAGAATCATAAGATAGTTCTATTTTACTTTCTTGAGGAACTTCCATACTGATTTCCACACTGGCTGGACTAATTTCTATTCCCCCCAAAAGTGTATGACACTTCTTTTTTCTCTGCATCTTAGCCAGAATTTATTGTTAATTGTTTTCTTGATGATAGATAGCCATTTTGACTTGGGTGAAATGTAATCTCAGTATAGTTTTGATTTGCATTGCATTTAAAGGTAAGGATGTTGAACATTTTTTCATGTGTTTATTAGCCATCCAAGCATATATTTTTTATTAGATGGCAGTATCACAGTTCCCTTACAGGATAAGGGAGAATTAATTTTACAGATAAAGGGATGGGGATGTGGCTCAAGTGGGAGAGCATTTACCTAGCAAGCAAGAGGTTCTGAGTTCAAACCCCTGTATCATAAAAAAAGAATTAGCAAAGTTTACAGATAAAATTAAGGTTGTTAATCAGAAGGCCATAAATAGGGAGATTATCATGGGTTATCTGGGTGCCCAATGTTGTCACAAGTGTCCTTAAAAGTAGAAGAGAGAAGGAGAATAAGAATTGCTATCCCCAAAGATTGAGGAAGAGACCAGAGCCAAGGAAGTCAAGTGACTGCTAGGAGATGGGGCAGTGGGAAAGCAATGGATCCTCCCCTGTTGCCTCCAGAAAAGAACCCAATCACACAGATGCCTTGATTTTAGTTGAGCAAGAGCCAAGGTGCAGGACTTCTCTGACCTCAAGAGTGGAAAGATATGTAAAGGTGTGCTGTTATAAACCCTCAGGCTAGTGGTGTTACATAAAACCAATATGAATTGCATGCAGACACTGACACCAAGTGGGTTCTTGGACAGGAGGCTGGCACCACTGGTGAGCAGGAAACAAGGTTTGATCTCAGCAGGAGACTCTGGGATGCCCCTCAGGATCAGGGAGGGTGACAAGGTGACTCCAGTCTGGCACTTGTGTCTCATGGGTGTTTCTTTTGCAGGACTATGTGTTGGTCAAACAGACATAAGTGGAGATGGTGAGTGACTCTTCAGTCAAACTGTCCTTGAACCTACACTCCACATGTCTCCTTTCCCTCCCCTTTCCCCAAATGGGCTTCCTGGGAGCAGGTGAGTGTCAGATCCAGCCCTGATCTCTGCTTCTTTCCAGGACCTCTTCCCAAGCCCAGCCTCAGTGCCTGGCCCAGCTCAGTGGTTCCTGCTGGGAGCAATGTGACATTGAAATGCAAGAGTCCTGTTCCAGGTGTATCCATTGTTCTCAGAAAGAAAGGGTTTGTTTTATGTTCCATTCTGCTAAATATGACAGAGATGACAGTTGACTTTCATCTCACTGAAATACAACACGGTGATTCTGGACCCTACGCCTGTGAATACTCCAATAAAGCGTCCCCTGATGCAACATCACAGCCCAGCGATGACCTTCTCCTGCTGGTCACAGGTGAGGAGGGGCTGCCCTAAAATGACTTATGGTGATCCACATACAGGATATGAGGGAAGGACCAGAGGAAGAGAGGGAGGATAAAAAGGGGTCTCATCTCCTGCACAGCTGGGAAAGAGATGGGTTGTGTTCCTGTGGACCATTAGTTTAGTCTTTATTTTTGGAGGGGTTCTGAAGAAGTTTTAGCACTATTCTGAGGGAGACTCTGATGTTCCCTTCCCTTGGGAAAGTTACCTCCATTCTCCTTGAATGTGTTTATGATGTCTAGGGGTTTTTCTTTGGAGTTTTTAGGGTCTTTTAGGTATATAGGAATAATTTGACTTGTTTCTTTCCTACTTGATTTCCTTTATTTCTTCTTCATGTCTTATTACCCTGGCTAGGAATTCCAAAACTGTGTAGAATAAGAATGAAGAGAGTGGAAACCCCTGTCTCATTCCTGAGTTTAGAGGAAATGGTTCCAGGAGTTCCCATTTAGGGTGACATTGGCTATAGGTTTGTCATTTATAGCCTTTATTATGTTGAGATACATTCCTTCTATTCCTAGTTTCATCAAAGGTTTTATCATGAAAAGATGTTGAATTCTGTCAAATGCTTTTTTTGGTGTCTATTTAGATAATCATGTGGTTTTTGTCCTCATTGCTGTTTATAGGCTGTATTATATTTATTGATTTGCAAATGTTGAACCATCCATGTATCCCTGGAATGAAACCAACTTGATCATGTTATTTGCCAGTATATTATTGTCTGGTTTGGGGATGAGTGTAATAGTGGCTTCATAGAATGAGTTTGGCAGTGTTCCTTCCTTTTCTATTTCATTAAATAGTTTGAGGAGTGTTGATGTTAGTTCTTCTTTAAAGGTCTGGTAGAATGCAGCAGTAAATCCATCAGGTCCAGGGTTTTTCTTTTTTGGGATACTTTTTATTGCTGCTTCAACTTCATTGCTTGTGATAGATCTTTTTATGTGTTTTGTATCCTCTTGGTCCAATTTTGGTTAGTTATGTGCATCTGGAAATTTATCCATTTCTTCTAGATTTTCCAACTTATTTGATAAGAGGTTTTTGAAGTATTCCTTATGGATCCTCTGGGTTTCATTGGCATTTGTTGTGACATTCCCCTTTTCATCTCTAATATTATTTTACTTATTTATTGTCAGTACTGTATTTTATTTTATTTATTTGTTTGTCGGTGGTACTGGAGTTTGAGCTCGAGACCTTGTGCTTGTTAGGCAGGTGCTCTACCATTTGAATCACTCTGTTAGCTCTCTAATTTTATAATTTGGGTCTTTCCCTCCTCCATTTAGCTAGGTTGACTAAGGGGGTGAGGCAATTAGCAATGTTATTTACCTTTTCAAAGAACTAAATTTTCGTTTCATTGATTCTTTGTACAGTTTTTTTTTTTGGTCTCTGTTTGATTGGTTTCAGACCCTCTTTCTTTCTTTTTTAAATTATTCTTGTACTGGGGAGTACATTGTGATATTTATCAAAGTTTTCACAATATATCAGAGTTGCATTCACCCCCTCCATCATTCTCCTTTATCGTCCCTCCCCCCATTCCTGGAATAGTTTCCACAGGTCTCATTTTTCCATTTTCATACATGAGTACATATTATTTCCACCATATTCACCCCCCTACACCCTTTCTTTATTTTCTTCCTACCCTGCCCCACTGGTACTAATCCCCAGATAGGACCTGTTTTACCTTCTTATTCTCCATTTTTGAAAAAAGACATTTTTGTTTGTTGAAGATAGCTATACAGGAAGTTTCATTGTGACATTTCCATGTATACTCTCTATTTTCTCCTTTATACATTAGTCTCCTTCTTATGGTGATTTCAACAGGTTTTAAAATTCCATATTCATTCTTGTATAGGAAATACATCAGCCATATTCACCTTCCTAACTTCCTTTTTTAACCCTCCCTTTCTCGTATGTGACCTCCCCTTAGTGTGACTTGTTTCTCATAATATTGTTTGTGTTTGTGTTGAGTCTACATTCCACATATGAGAGAAAACATGCAACCTTTGGCTTTCTGAACCTGGTTAACTTCACTTTACATTATGTACTCCAGTTCTATCCATATACTTGTGAATGACAAAATTTCATTTTTCTTTATGACTGAATAAAATTCCATTGTATATAAATACTGCATTTTCTTAATCCATTCATTGGTAGTAGGGCATCTTGGTTGTTTCTGTTGCCTAGCTGTTGTGAATAATGCTGCAATACATATGGGTGTGCAGGTAGGTGTCTTTATTGTAACCTGACTTACATTCCTTCAAGTATATTCCCAGGAGTGGTATTGCTGGATCATACAGTAGTTCTAGTTTTAGTTTTTTGGGGGGAGCCTTCGTACTATTTTCCATAGTGGTAGTGCTAATTTGCATTCCCACTGACAAGTATGAGGGTTCTATTTTCCCCACCAACATTTGCTGTTGTTTATGTTCTTGATGGTAGCCATTCTGACAGGAGTGAGGTGGAATCTTAATGTGATTTTGATTTGCATTTCCTTCATGTTGGCCCTTGTTTTTATGATCTCTCTCCTGCTGGTTTTGAGTTCAGCCTGTTCTTATTTCTCTAGAAGTTTGAGATGCAGCAGTAAGTCATTTATTTGATATCATTCTGTGCTTTTAATGTAGGTATCTATAGCTATAAACTTTCCCATTAGCAGTGTCTTTGCTGTGTCCCATAGGTTCTGGCAGGTTGTGTTTTCATATTCATTAGATTCCAAGAACTTTTTTATTCCCTCTCTTAACTTCTTCAGTGACCCACTGGTCATGCAGCAATGTGTTGTTCAGTCTCCAGGTGTTTGAATATTTTCTGCTATTTCTTTTGTTGTTGAGTTCTATCTTTATTCTGTTGTGGTCAGACAGTGTGAAGGGAGTCATTTCATTTTTCTTATATTTGTTAAGACTTGTTTTGTGTCCTAAAATATGATTTATTTTGTAGACATTTCCATAGACTGCCTGTTCTGAATCCTTGCTCTATCACTTAGAGCCTAGTTCCACATCTGTAAAGTGTGGACAGTAGTGATGTCCACATCATCAAGTTGTGGAGATTAAATCCTTTGACTACATCCTGCACTTAGAGTCCTGGCTGTGTGAGCAAGGAATGCTCTATATCTCTGGCTTTTGTTTCTAGTATAAGGATCAGAACAGTACTTCCTTCCCTGTGTTGTGGTAAGAGTAAGTGAGTTACTTCTTATTCTGTACTTGGGACAGTGGCTAGAACACAGTACATGTTAAGCTTGTTGAGATCAGTAGTCAAAGCCTGGCATGCAGTAAGTAGTATGCAATTGCCACATATTATTATTACCCCTTCTTGATGATAATCTTAAAATTCTTCCTGAAGATCATCCATCATGGCCTAAACATCATGTCAGTCTTTCCATCACATTTGGGTGCAGAAAGTCTATGACACAACAGATCTGTGTTGATTCATATCCTGTAATGTACACAGATGAGACTCAGAGATGAGAGGAGATCAAGAGAAGAGATGAAGCTGGGCACCAGAGGCTAATGCCTGTAATCTTAGCTATGCAGAAGGCAGATCAAGAGGATTACAGGTTTGGGGTAAAAGCGAGGCAGGGAGTTCTGGAAACCCCATCTCAAATGGAAAAAAATCTGAGAGTGCTGGTGCACACCTTTCATACCAGCAGTAGAAGGAAGCTTAAAATAGTTGGATTGAGGAGAAGAGAGAAACCCTGTCCACAAACTAACCATAGCAAAAAGGGCTAGAGGTATGGCTCAACCAATAAAGCTCCTGCCTCACAAGCTTGAGTTCAACCTGAGAGAGAGAAACAGAGAGAGAGAGAAAGAGAGAGAGAGAGAGAGAGAGAGAGAGAGAGAGAGAGAGAGATCTTAGATCCTATCTACTAGCACCTGACAGAGCCAGAGAGTAGCTATTGTTCACTGAATGTCCACATCTAGTTCATTGTTTCTTTCCTTGCCGTTCAGAATTCTGTCAACCAGTGGTTCTCAGTGGTGGTGATTGTGTCTCCTGGAGACACTGGGTAGTGTCTGGAGATAATCTGGTTGGCCATGCCTGGGGGGAAGTGTGCTAGTGACATCTAGTGGGTGGAGGCCAGGAAAGCCACTGACTATCCTACCCTGTGGCAGATGCCATGATGAAGTCTTCTGACCATGAGTATTCACAGTCCTGAGTTTAAGACACTGAAGTGTAGATATTTAGAAGTGTCCAGCTGGAATCTGCATACCCCCCATGTCTTTCTCTGGCTGTGTTTGTTTGCTATAGCTTCTGCAACAAAGTAGCCAACTGAGTGTCTCATAGAGTGTATAATGTTTCCTTTTGCTCAGCATCTTAACCAGCATTTTTATACCATCTTAACTTTTTTTATATCTTTTATTCATATGTGCATACAATGTTTGGGTCATTTCTCCCCTCTTCCCCCTGCCCCCTCTCTTTCCCCTGTCCCTTCCTTCTCCCCCCCCTACCCCCTTGCTACCCAGGAGAAACTATTTTGCCCTTATCTCTAATTTTGTTGAAGAGAGAGCATAAGCAGTAATAGGAAGGAACAAGGGTTTTTGCTGGTTGAGATGAGGATAGCTATACAGGGAGTTTACTCGCATTGCTTTCCTGTACATATGTGTTACATTCTAAATTAATTCTTCTCAAACTAACCTTTTCTCTAGCTCCTGGTCCCCTTCTCCTATTGGCCTCTGTCACTTTAAAGTTTCTGCATTAGTTCATTTGCACTGAGGACATCAAATGCTATCTTATATTGGGGGGGTTTCTTGCCTATCCTCATACCTCCCTTGTGTGCTCTCGCCTCATCATGTGATCAAAGTCCAATTCCCTTGTTGTGTTTGCCCTTGATCTAAAGTCTGCATATGAGGGAGAACATACGATTTTTGGTCTTCTGGGCCTGGCTAACCTCACTCAGGATGATGTTCTCCAGTTCTATCCATTTACCTGCAAATGATAAGATTTCATTCTTCTTCATAGCTGAGTAGTATTCCATTGTGTATAAATAGCACATTTTCT